CATCAGATGAATGAGTCACCAGGAATTCTTCCAAGATGTCAGCAGTGACTTCAATGAGACAACCAATGAACTGGATCAGTCGACAGAGAGATCCATGGAGGAGCAGGCAAAGAAGAAGTCGAATTGGACCCTTCAGGAGGGCCATTGCCTGGGCTTGACAGGTATGCTCAAGTCATCAGAGAATGTGTGAATGGCAGATTTATCGGCCGCAGTCAGAAGGCAGTGCAAAACATCAACAGGGCACAATGCAATGGCATCTGTACTCTCAAGACCAATCGCAACATTGTCATCAAACCAATGGACAAAGGAGGATCCATCGTCATGGAATAGAACGGACTACTGCAAGGAAGTGTACCGACAGCTGAACAACCAGGAGCACTACGGACAAGTACCTGCTGATCTGACCAAATAACACACCTGTCAACTGAACAGATTGGTCAAGACTTTTGATCCAGTCCTTCAGAGTACCCTATGTACTCTCATCCCACGTAGGGGACTTCTACTGCCTTCCAAAGATATTCAAAGCCAACACACCTGGACGTCTCTTTGTATTAGGCAATGGGACCCTGTGTGAGAACCCCTTTTGGCTATGTATCTTCAAAGGTTCGTCAGATTAATTCATATGGGTAAAACAAATAGGAAGCAATCACTTTGCTGGACATATACTATGTCTTGGAAAGAGAGAAAGACATGTAAACAAATCTTGAAGAAGTTTAAAAAATTATAGGGTAATAGTAGTAGGAGATTTCAGCTTCCCCAATATTACCTAGAGTAGACAAAGTGAGGGCAGAATTCTTAAAATAGGTCCAGGAGAGTGTTTTCTTCCTTTAGAAAGCCAGAATGTAGAAAATCCTACAAGAGAGTGGTGGTGCTGGTCTTTAATATTAGGGAATGAAGCCAGGCAAGTGGTCGATGTGGCAATGGGAGAGCCTTTTGGTAATAATGACCATAATTCAGTAAATGTCAAGATAATTATGGACAAGGACAAAGATGAACTGGAAATAAAGATTCTGATTTTTTTTTTTGAAGTTGTGACGAAGGTAGTGGACAGGGGAATGATGGGATTTTGTTTCCATGGACTTTCGGAAGGCATTTGATAAAAGCCCACATAAGAGATTGTTAACTAAGGTGGAAACCCATGGTCTTGAAGGCAGATTAGTGACATGATTGAGTGGTAGATGACAAAAATTAGGGTTAAAGGATAGGAACTCAAATTGGCAGGATGTGACAAGTAGTGTCCCAAAATGATCTGTTGAGGCCTCCATTATTCACATTATTAAGGACTTAGATAATGGTCACCTATCCAAATTTGCTGATGAGAAAGTTTGGCGGCATTGTAGACAGTGTGGATGATAACATAAAATTATAACGGGATATTGATAGACTAGGTAAATGGGGCAAATCTGTGGTAGCTGGAGTTCAGTGTAAGCAAGTGTGAGGTTATCCATTTTGAACTGATAAAGGACAGGTCAGGCTACTTTCTAGATGCTATACATGGATATCCAAAGAGACTTGGGGGTTCAGGTGCACAGACAATGAAAATGTCATGAACAGGGGCAAAAGATATTTAAGAAAGCTAATGGACTGCTAGCCTTTATAGCTAGAGGACTGGAGTACAAGGATGCAGATGTTATGCTGCAGTTATACAAAACCCTGGTTAGATCCCACTTGGAGTACTGTGAGAATGTCTGGGCACCACACCTTAGTGTGGACATACTAACCTTGGAGGGAGTATAATGTAGCTTTACCAGAATGATACCTGGACTTCAGGGGTTATAAGGATAGATTATATAAATTAGGCCAGTTTTCTCCAGAATTTAGAAGGTAATAGGGTGATCTGATCAAAATCTTCAAGATGTTAACAGGAAGAGATGGGGTGGATGGAGATGAACTATTTCAACTGGTTGGAAATTCCAGAAGTATGGGGCATAGTCTGAGAATTAGGGCCAGACCATTCAGAAGAGTTGTTAGGAAGCACTTCTACACACAACGGGCGGTAGATATTTGGAATTACTTCCAAAACGGCAGCGGATGCTGGATCAGTTGTTAGTTTTAAATCAGATTGATAAATTTTAAGCAAAGGTATTAATGGATATGGGCCTAAGGTAGGTATATTGAATTAGGCCCCAGATTTGCCACTGAATGGTGGAACAGGCTTGAGGAGCTGAATGATCTACTACTGTTCCTATGTTCCTAACTGGGGGAAGGCTGATTTGAATATGATAAGACAGGATCTGGCCAAAGTGGACTGGGAGGAAAAGCCACATCAGAAAAGTGGGAGACATTCATAACGGTATTAATGAGCATGCAGGGTGAATCATGGGACCAACATGTCTAGAGAACTCTAGGTATCAAGGGACGTACAGGATAGTATCAGGGAGAAAAAAGGAGGCTTATGGTAAATACAGAGGGCTCAAACGTTAGCCAGAGGCCCTCGAGGCCTACAGAAAGTGCAGGGGGTTGCTCAAAAAGAAATTAGGAGACCAAAGAGGGGCCATGAGAAAACACTGGTGGCTAACATTAAGGAAAATCTAATAGCATTTTATGTTAAGGGCAAGAAAAAAACCAAGGAAAGAGTAGAACCTGTTAGGGACCAAAATGAGAATCTGTGTGTGAAGGCAGAAGACACAGCTGAGCTTTCAAATAAGTACTTTACGTCTGTATTCACTGCAGAGAAGGAAGATGTAGATGTAGAAATCAGGGAGGGCACTGTGATACACTTAAATAATTAGCACTAAGAGGGTTTAGGGGGCAGGAAAGTGGATACATCTGCAGTGATTTTGATAGGGGGCAATGAGGTCTGAGATATACAAGGTGTAGAGCTGGATAAACACAGCAGGCCAAGCAGCATCAGAGGAGCAGGAAGGCTGATAGTTCTGACAGGTTTGATTGAGTTTTTCATGGAGGTGACTAGGTGTGTAGATGATTGTGTGGTTGATTGTGTCTATATGTACATTAGCAAGGCTTTTGATAAAGTCTCGCATGGCAGACTGGTTAAGAAGGTAAGAAGCCATGGAATCTAGGGTACTTTGTCAAATTAGATACAAATTAGATGCTTCCTGGCAGGAAGCAAAGGACAATAAAGAAGTGTGTTTGTGTCACTGGAAGCCTGTGTTCAGTAGTGTACCACAGGGTTCACTGCTGCTTTGTCACGTACATTAATGATCTACACATGAATGTGGGAGATATCAGTAAGTTTGGAGATAAAATGAAAAAGGTTGGTGTGGTAGATAGCAAGGAAGAAAGCCTTAGATTACAGGGGCATATAAAGGGGTTGATCACATGGATTGAACAGTGGCAAATGGATTTTAATCCAGAAGTGTGAGGTGATACGTTTTGGGAGGACCATCAAGACAAAAGAGTACAGATTGAAAGATAGGACCGCAAGAAATACAGAGGATCAGAGGGATGTTAATTGTGCATCATCATTTAGATTCTTGAAGGCTGGAGGGCAGATGGATAAGCTGCTTAAGGCAGCATATGGGAGACTTGCCTTTATTAGTGGAGGCATTGAATTAGTGGAGCAAGAAGGTTATGAATGAGTTGTGGATAACATTGGTTACGCCACAGCTGAAGGACTATGTGCAGTTCTGGTCATCACACAATGGGAAGGATGTTACTGCAAAAAAGAAAGTGCAGAGGAGATTCACTAGGATGCTGCTTGAGCTGGAATGATTCAGCGATGAAGAGAGGCTAGACAGTCTAGGATTGTTTTCCTTTGGACAGAGAAGGCTGAAGGGGGATCTGCTTGAGGTGTACCAAGTTCTTAGGGGAATAGATTGTACATGGGGAGGAACCTTATCCCTAAGTAGAGGGGTCAATAACCAAGGGCACAGTTTTAAGGAGCAACAGGTTTCAAGGGGATTTGAGGAAATTCATTTGCACCCAGATGGTTGAGGTTATCTGGAACTCATTACCTTAAACAGTTGGCAGAAGCAGAAACCTTCAAGAGATTTTAGAAGTATTTAGATGAGCATTTGAAGTGCCATAGCTATGTATAATGTTTGGTCGGGGCTGGACATTGATCAATCTGTTGTGGACTGGGCTGTGTCCTGTTAAGTGTTAGAAAATAGGAATAGAAAAGATTGGCATGGACACACAGGGCTGAGTGGCCTCTTTTTGTGCTGTAAAAACTCTTTTGACTTCAAGATTCAGATTGAGGTAGCCACAATCTTCCCCAGACTGAACACTATGAACTTGTTCTCTTATGATGGACATTGTGGTCAGTTTGTTCAGTACATTCTAACCTGTCCTGTGGGCTGGGAGTGTTTCCTACAGTCCATTCTATCCAGTGTGTCTATACACTGCTATCCATTCTGTGCAGTATGTCAGTGCTCTCCTGTGTGTTCGCACTAATGCATCTAGCCCTGGCCATTCTGTCCAGTCCTGTGTGTCTGCCCCTGGCAACTCTGTCCAGTCCGGTGTGTCTGACCCTGGCCTCTGTTCTGTCCTGTCCACTGTGTCTGGCCCTGGTCTCTCTGGTATGTGGATTATTCCGGGTGGGGGTTGGGACCCAGGCTCTGGACCAATCAACGAGCTGAGCGGTGACTCACCAAATAAGGAGCGGCCGCGCCATAAAAGGAAACATTGTGTCTTTATATGGTGGAAATAGTGCTGGGTATAGGCCGTATCACTGCTTTCCGCCTGCTATCCTTACCCTCCAAGAGTAGTGGATTCCGCGGATTCCGAGAACACTGCTGCCCAGGTGATAGGTGGCAGGGAGGGGAACAGTATTTTCCTGACGGGTCAGGGAGGGTCTGGCTGAGGAGAGCGGGCAATTAGCCTGGCACTATTTTAATGTGTGGTGTGGCTGAGAGTGATGCGGCTGAGGTTTCCTTTCCCGGTGTCTCCGGGTTCCACATTGTAGACAGTGTCCCCGGTGTTAGACTGGGAGTTGGGGGGGGGGGGACCGGGAACAGACCGGGGGGGGGGGGGCAGACCGGGGGACGGGGGATAGACGGGGTGCACATTGGGGGGTGGGGGGGGATAGACCGGGTAAAGGACTAGGACGGATCGGCATTATTCCAAGACCAGAACCGGACTAAGAGCGGAGATACATTGGTAAAGACCTGGGTGAGACCGGGACAAGTGGCCCCGAAAGAGAACAAGGAGAGAGCGGCTCTGAGATTTAGGGACTAAACCGGGGCAGGGGTCACTCTTTTTCTCCCCCGCTCCCGGGGGCCATGCTGCAGAGTCCGGCCGGCACCGCTCCTCCTGAGCCCAACAGCTCGTCGTCATCACCGGCGGGCAGCCTGCAGCCAGCGGCCCCGGGCCCGGGCCCCCAGGCAGCAGCCGCTGCCGTGCTGGTGTCCCGGGACAGAGAGGCCCCGCTGCCTGGGCCCCCTTACAGCTGCTCGGAACCCAGCAGCGACGAGGACGAGGAACTGGTGGTGGCCTCGGCCCCGGCCCCGCTTGACAGGCGGGGGGTCAAGAGGCGCCTGTCCGACCTGGAAGCAGCGGCTGCGGCGGGCCTGGCAGGGGTGAGCGGACACGGCCCGGGGCTAGAGCCTGGTCAAGGGAGCTTAGCGCCGGCCGGAGGCTATGGGGCAGCGTCGGCCCCAGGAGGGACTGCACCAGGAGCCGGATTAAAACCTGGCAAGAAAACTAGGGGCAGAGTGAAAATTAAAATGGAATTTATCGATAACAAACTGAGGAGATACACGACCTTCAGCAAGAGGAAGACTGGCATCATGAAGAAGGTGAGTCTAAGAGTGACTCCTGCCCTGGAGAGTGCGGGGGTGGGGGTTTGAGTGGAGAGTGACTCCTGTCCCAGAGAGTGGGGGGG